GAAATAACAAAGACGCCCAACTTTAAGTGTTTTGCTAAGTCAACAGCTGGTGCACATTTTTGTACAAAAAGGAGGTCTGCTTGTTAATGCAGTACATTTGATTAGATAAAACATTTTAAAAATCAACCTTAGATTAAAGATTAATTTTAGGTTTTGATTATGTGCTACTGTGCAATGTTCTCTCTCGTCTTCCTGTGTAGTATTAGTTGCATTGGGCAATGATCTGGAGCGTTCAGTAACATAGTTTACACCATAACGACATAACAAGGACATTTCTGTTATTTAATTATCTTTTTTAATGTATCAATGGTTTGGTCCAAAAATCATGAACATTGACAAATATATAAGATTCAGTTTACTATGATATAAGACAAGCAAAAGAAACAATTTATCCTTTTTCCAAACCATTACATTTGGCATTACTGCTACAATTTTTAATTTTTTTAAGTTGCTGGTTACTGTTTCTGAGTCATCACTGAATCGACTACTCTTTGCAGCTCTACTTAACTCTATGGGTGGTTTATTGCTAAGTTGCTTTGAAAAATACAGTGTGCGCTGCCAGCTATTATTAGCAAGCAGCATGATAAGACAAGTACCTGTTGAGGGAGATAGAGCAGAACATTAAGGCTGGTGTATTTTTAAAAAGATGGGAGCTCTATAAAACCAAAACAAGACTTTTTATCATGGGATTTGGTGTAAATACAAAAATACTCTGTTCACAGAATACACATATAGTGGTAGGACGCTTTACCTTTTGAAGCCTGAGAAGGCCTTAAAGCTTATCTATTTGTTATTTCTGAGAGGACAAGGCCTCTCATAGGTACTAACAGCCTTTCTGCTGCAGCAACTCTTTTAAAGTTAGACTCCAAACCTCTCATATGGGATACAGTAAATACGCAATCTCTTCTACACACCTTCCTGTATTTCTCCTGTTCTGTTTGCTATTAGACAAACCAGACAGAGAGAGCGAACATGCTGAAAATGAAGCAGCTGTTCATTCGCTTATCTGTTACTGTAGGTTATTGTGTGATTGAAGGATCTATGGAAACTATTATGCAACTACTCGTATCTTTCCCCAGTTGTGTTAAAGGTCCCATGTCATGGCCCTTTCTCCTGATCATAATTCCATTGTTAAGGTATACTAGAATATATTTATATTGTGCAATTTTCCAAACTCACATTGGTTCCTCATACAGCATCTCTGTATAGTATGTGTATTCACTCTGTCCTAAACGCCTTGTTGGAGCTCCTGCCCCCCCTCCCTGTGAGCCCAGTGTGCTCTGATTGGTCAGCTCGCCCACTCTGTTCTGATGAGTCTACCACCGTTACTTTGAGGGTTTGTGACTTTGCAGACCGTTTACATGCATAACAACCCTCATAACACACAAGGGGATGGGTAATAACCGGAAAGGCATGACATGGGACCTTTAAGTATACTGGATGTAGCTTTGTTCAGGTCAAACAGTGGAAGGCTGTGAGAACTGTTCTCTTATTTCTCATGGGGATTTGTGTATCTTTGTATTGGTGTAATTTTTGAAAAGAGCAGATATTTGTGCAAATGTCAAGTTGGATTTCAGATGGACTCTTAAGATGGGGCTGAGCATCTTTCAATGGAGATAAAACAAAGCTTGTATTGATGGTTACTCTTTACTGAAAGAACACACGTTGGGCCCTTAACATGTTTAAAAACATATTTTTTAACATTATCAGACTTGTATTCATATTCAAGACTCAACTTGGGTTTTTGAAGGATACACAATTATCTTAAGATGGTCTCTTATTCTAACAGTACATTTTTATTGAGTTTCCAGAAAATGTATAATATAATTGATATTCATATTGTGATATAAAATGACTTACCATACATAAAACACACACACAAGCTCACACTAAGAGAAACATTTTGTTTCTTTTAGCAGCAAACAGGCGGTTGGTTTTGATAATAGAGCTCTGTTCAGTTTGAGAAACCAGAGATCAGTAATTGGACAAGACACCCATTCATCTGTGTGACCTCTGATCTGTTATGCCAGTCACAGGTGGCTGTCACACTGGGATACTGTTACCCACCTTTGTTTGCCTGGAATAGCATTAATACCAGTGTTTGTTGCCTGCACTCTAAAATGTAAGTAAATGGCAGACCGACCAACAGACAGGACAGGTTGTCACAAGACCATGACGTAGCCATTGAATCCAGATTTGCTAGAGTTTCCACAACTTGATACAGAAACAAAGTCGTATTAATACTTTCGCACTAGTAAGCTTTATCCACCACTGCCGTAACAAGATAGAAATTAGAGCATCACTTAAAACAGTGACTTCATTGTTAAAGATGGATCAGATTAGGTAAAACAATAGTCACAAAAGATACAAATCTAAAAACGTTCTTCCAGGATGAATTAAACTCAAGTTGGAAGAGTTTTTTGGTGACATAAGTTGGAAGAAACTGGATGCAAAAATGGCTTCCTAACGCATTTATCCTCAAGGAGATGTCATTAAGGGGAGAGTGGAAAGTAAACAGCCGGGTCATTTGGTGCATTCTGGATGAGTTAACAGTGACATTATGTAGAATCCCCTGTATCATTCTGAGTAACTCAAACTTGCTTGAAATCTGTTTCTTCTTACAGCTTCTTCCACTTGGACGTGCAGTAACATAGAGATTAATCCAGTTATAGACAAACTCCTGTCAGGATGCTGTGGGATTTTTTGGGCTTTTTACAAGATATATCAGGCTGGGAAAAAAAATACATTATAGTGGAGTTTGTTTTGATCATTAAATAACATCAACTTTACCCTTTAACCTACCCTAATTAGATTCCGGTGGGAAAAGGTTCTCCAACACAAGAAATACTACAACTATACCAATAATAATGACTTTATTTGAGAGCTGTGTTCTCAATAACTCTTTAACTAATTCTCTGGAACCAGTTTTGTCTCTGTGGTGCGTCAACGCTGTAAAAAAGAGTGTGAAACTCCATTCCCCAACACAATCTGACATTCAAATTAAAGCCTATTTAAATCTTCATGATGACTGCAGTGAGTTTAAATGTCACCTTTTTTCCTGTAAACACGGCTGCAGACGCCCTTCTGTGTCACATGACTCTGTTTGGCAGAATAAACAGGCTGGTTCATTTAGACTGAATGGATAGGGGGACTGTTTGCTTTGGGCCCTTTATGGTGGGACATTGTCAAACAGTGGACATGTGGTGGGCGGTTATGTTGTGCCCTTAAAAAGGGAAATAGTGAGTGAGAGAAGTGAAGACATAAAATCACACAGCTCCCGCCTTTACTCGTTTGAATCGAGCGAGGAAGAGCGCAGTGATCCCTCCCACCGGAACCCCAAGGCATTACCAGTAATACCAACAGATCAACGCACAATCAACCCATACAGCGGGATACATCTATCTCTCAGAATTGACTGTTTTTGTCTGTCACATTTACAAGGGTGTGTTTGTTTGCATCCAGCATCCACTCTATATTTAGTTGTGTTCATTTGTTTGCATGTTAGTCAGCACAAAACCCCCCAAGCACCTGGGGAACATGTGGACACAGATTTAAACACACACAAATGCTGCAGAAAAAGCACACTTTGTCGTGTGTGTGTGTGTGTGTGTGTGTGTGTGTGTGTGTGTGTGTGTGTGTGTGTGTGTGTGTGTGTGTGTGTGTGTGTGTGTGTGTGTTTTCTAAAGCCTTGTCATTCCTGTAAGAACTCACACATTCTTCAACAAACACATGTGGTTGATATTTATAGCTTAAGTGTTGACGTCACCTTGGTAGCGCTTAACATCTACCACTTCCTGTTCGGCAAACCTCAACATTGGCAGGGCCAGACCTGGCTCTTGATTTTGAGCTCTTACTGTCAGAAGGAGCAGATATCTGAACGATGTCTGGCCTGAGAGAGGAGCCTCCCTCTGAGTCACTCTGCCCTACATGGGAAAAACATTGAGAGGCTGGAGGGCTGATGCAAAGCTGAAGTAAGAGCTTTTGTATCCAAAAGTGGGAAAGGAAGGCAGATGAATAGCCATGTATCGGAGTTGATGTAAACTGGACTTTAAAACAATGTTGAGGCTTTCCTTCCTCTTTTCATCTTTAGACATTTGTTGATTCCTTGTGGCTGTTTGTTCAGCATGTTCCCTAAATATACACACTTGTGTCTCAACGGCATAAACTGTATATAAAAGTGGACATAATCACTGAGACATCACCAGTTTGGTGTTCTATCTTCTTAAAGGTTGGGGCGAAGTATAACCAAATACTAATCAAGATTATTTTAAGCAACCAAAATGTTATTAAAAACTTTCATTAATGGACAACACGGAAGGGTTGCATTTCTTAGACGACAATGTGGACAACACCCAACCAGAACAACGCTGTAGTTTTAAACTGTAAATATTAAGGTAGCCACGCCCTAAAGTTTTCCCTGATTTATTGTCTATTTTTCTCTGAAGTGGGGCAACATTTACTAAATAAACATTATGCTGTGTTGAAGAAGTCCTGAAGCAAGTGATTGAAACCATAAACTCATCACCACTAACAGATCACCTTTAACACTCAACCATCTAGGTTTAAAGGAGACCATGTACTTTGATATATATATATAAAATATCTCTATCATTTACTAAAATGTTCCAGTCTTGAATAACATTTATTTCTTTGAAAAGATGTTGTTGCAACCTAAGAGCTCCATTAACTGTTGTTTAAAAGGCCATGGCAATGATTACCATAATAGAAAAGCATTATGGAAAACATTTCCTGCTGGCAGCTGCTGGGCATTAAGTCATTCTTATTTCAACAGGAATGATGTTTACACTCTTCAATTTTCAGGAGAAAGTGTGTGTGTGTGTGTGTGTGTGTGTGTGTGTGTGTGTGTGTGTGTGTGTGTGTGTGTGTGTGTGTGTGTGTGTGTGTGTGTGTGTGTGTGTGTGTGTGTGAGAGATATGAGCTGACTCAGATTTATCCTTACGTTTCCTCACAATGTAACAGCTGTCTCTCCTTCATCACAGACCAGTATGATGGAGAGATAGCAGTAGGAAGAAGAGAAAATGTCTTTTTTTGGCATGGACTGTGTCAAGAAAAAAGAGCAAGGTAAGCCTTAACTGCATGGATTTTAATTATCATTATGATTACAATTATATCCTTGACTTTTGAAACAGCAATCCCTTCAGGGCAGTAGGTATGTCCTTAATGTTACAACAAGAACTTTATCAGCAAATGTAGATGCAAAGTCACTACAGTGAGGCTATTATGTTAAGATAATTATTAAGGATTCAAATAAAGTGCTTAGAAAAAAAGGACACCATTTTGATGACAACTCAGCAAATCCTTCTGCTGAGGAAGTTCATGTGATGGGACAAGCTTAGGGTAATGGTTCCCCTAACCTTTTTTTCTTTCCTAAAGGAACTCCTCTTCTAACATTAAGTAAACTGAAGACCGCTTACTAAGTGTCATAACAATAACAGTAAAGACCAACTAAGTACACAATTAATCAATTTTTTATATTGTTCATTGGACTAGTTTTCTAGCAAAGTATTCTCCTACAATGTTACTTCAGAGGTGTTACTTTTTGGGATGGATTTTTTATTTTAAAAAATCATTCATAATAAGTACAATACAGTATCCTTCTTTTTGACTTTTCCTCTTTCTGATGCCTAGCCATTGTTCTATAAGCTCTTTCTTTTTTAAAAACTCTATTTTAATGCAGGATGAGGCTGTATATCAGAGGTGGTTGGCTGTTTGAATGTAACAGATTGTGTTCAGTGTACACCTTGTTGTAAAATGCATACTATATATACTGTATAGAGTAAAACATGCTGTTATTTGAGATCAGTATTTGAAACCAGTGTGTAACATAGCAAACTTTGTGTTCTCTTCATGGCGAGGCTAAGCTGCCCTACCACTGCTGGGGTTTAAAGTTTGGGTCACATTATAAACCTATGAAATGAAAATTAATGTCAATTAATAACGATTTCCCTGTCTTTTCAAATCAGAGCTGGAGAGGAAGCTCCGCGCCAACGACCGCGAGTACAACCTCCCCTTTAAGTATGCAGTAAGTATTGCAATTTTGATACGTGTGTGTGTTGTTGCTGCGTCTTTCACTCACATTATTCATCAATGTGAGTCTCTATTGTCCACTACAAATGCTTTTTTATAGAGAATGGAGATGTACAGCAGATGCAGCCCTCTTACATTATGAAAATACTGTTTACCATTTATCAGTAGGTACAAATATTTAGCAGAGAAACTCTCCTTTGGGGTGTGTCTTGCTGCTCAAGTGTCTGGATGTTATCAGGAGCCTGGATGTCAGCCAGAGTCTAAGAGTTGAGGTTGCTGCTGGGGAAAATCAGTCCCCTCAGTCTGCTCTCAGTGTTGATGCAGTCAAGGTCAAAGTAGTTTTAAAAAAAACAACCTGTGGATAACTTATTTTAGCATTGTTAACGTGCATTGTGGTGTTTTCTGATTTAAAATAAAAGTAAAAAAGTGAGTTATGTAGAAGATAGAAGAGTGAGATGAGAAGTAAAGGCTAAAATAAAGATAACTTAGAACTATGTTCCAAATAAATAGTTCCCTATCATAAATATATACAGTGTAGATACTGTATATGCCGCACAATACAATGCATTTAAAAACTCTATCAAACAGAGCAGCGCTGAAATTGTAAAACAGTAAATGTAGGACACAAGTAGTCTGAGTATATAGACACCAAAATAAAGAATCACATAGATGCATACATTTTAGTATTCATATACAGGAATAAATGTAAATCTATCAAGAAACAAAGAATATGAAACTGACAAACCTAAAAAAAAAGAAAATTGAAAGTTGAAACGGTCAATGGAAAAAGTAAAGCAAATTAGAATTGTATACTATTATGAATTAATACAATTAAATAAATATTCAATTTTACTTTTAATTTTTTCTGTTCAATCTTTGACTGGAACCTTGTGGAAATACCAAACACTCTTCCGGCGTGTGTATTTAAGCAGGAGCACAATCTCTAGCCTGTGGGCATTGTTGTTATTAGTAAAGACGCATGGTGATATACTGACATGGGCTTCACGGTCCGGACGGTTAGGAGGAGCCTCCTGATAAGATCCACCTGGCACAAAGCAAAAGCCTCCCACTGAAAAATTCTCTTGTAAAGTTTAACTCGAGGATTTTAAACAAAACAGCAATTAGAAATATCCAGTTACGTTATATTTCAGGTAAACAAAGCTTTAACCCAGAAATGTTTAACATGGGGAGCATGGGTAATACTAAATGGTTTCTTGTTGGATATTTTCTGAATACATGCTTGGTGCTTTTGTTAAAAGAACCTCTGAAGAAATCTTAGCAGAGGCTCATACATACAGAGAGGTTTGTTTTTAATTGTATTTTCCCCCAAGAACAATGTCTAGGAAATACTCATCCAAGAAATGTATGTTAAACTTTTACTCTTACACTTTTTTGTCTGTTATTTGCCTCATTATTTCCATTAATCTCAGTCTTTTAATCATGTTTAAAAGCAGTATGTGTGTAGTCATATGTGAAGGAAGCATATTTGACATCAAGGTAACACTACTGTGACCTACAGTAAGGTTTGGCTTCTATTTCTTCTATGTTGTTGATTTGGAGGTAGTAGGTATTCAAAATGGTTTTCCGGACACATGTCTGTCTGCTAACCTCCTGACATAATATTTTGGCCTTTGAATGTCCGGACCATAATCATAGGCAAATATTTGTTTAAGCCGTACACGTAATTATCCACCAGGCTTCTATCTTATCATCTCGGATGCAAAGAGCGAGATTTCCATAATACGGTTCTATAGATACATATAAACCATGTCCACAGAAGGAAACAAGCCTCACACATTTAGAGGACCGATAAGTGTCTTTTTTTATTTGTGTGTGTCACCAGCTACTCTGTTATTGTGTTTTGTTTGTTTGAGGTGCTATCAGATTATGTATTTAAAGTTTAAAGCTTAAATAAGATAAGATGTACTTTTGCCCTAGCCCTTTCTTGGTCCCCCGGCTTCCTTTATTTTTTGTTTGCCCTTTGATTGTCTGTTTGTTTTGTTTGTCCACCATGACCTTGGGTCCCTTGAAAGGCGCTATATAAATATCATTTATTATTATTATTACTTTAATAATCCCAATTTAGGAAATGTTCTTGTTGCAGCAGCAGAAAACAAAACAAGACAAATTAAAAGAGTAGAAATAAACAATTCTAAAATAGAAACATCTCAAAATAGAAATAGAAATAAACCAGCATTAGATAAGCAAAATATACAGATGACCGTGAAGTTAACAAATCTAACAACATTATTGAAGGGAAATTATATATTTACCTTTTTGTGAGGGGATAAAACATATTTTGAAACAACATTTTGACCATAGGCTACATATTAAAAAGATAGTTTTTTCAGGAATTCAGAAGACGCTCTCTAAAATGACAAACTAATTCACAAAATGTATCATTTCGTTTCATTTAATCATTTATTTGAATAGGGACAATGCACATTAATTAACACTTAAGACAAATAATGCTTTAAGTGTAAATAACACCCTGTTTTCTGTTAGATAAGTAAGACTTAAACCAATGTATAGAAACTGCAGAAAAATTGAAATAAGTCAGCTTTGTAAGGAGCACTTGGTGGTCAACAGTGTCAAAAGCCTTTCTGAGATCAAGGAAGACAGCACCTACATATGGGCTCATGTCCAACACACATTTAACCTTTTCCACAAAGACACAGTTGGCTGTCTCAGTGGAGTGGTGAGCACCAAAACCAAACTGCATAGGGTGGAGTGGAGCGAAACCTTTGTCTAAATGTTTGGTGATCAGTTTTGACACCCATTTTTCAGCTATCTTAGAGACACAGGGGAGGATGCTGATTGGTCTGTAATTGGACATCATTGCCTTATCCCCAGATTTAAAGATCGGTGTCACCGTGGCCACCTTCCAGGATGATGGAACTTCCCTCGTGCTGATAGATTGATTCATTAGCATAGTAATTGGTTTTATTAGACCGTCGATATGTGTTTTTATAAAGTTGGTGTCTAAAGTATCTGCATCCCTAGCCTTAGAACATCTTAACCCTGAGATTATATTTTTTACCTCAACCTCCTGATTTCCTCCAGGTCAAAAACGGGGTGTGTATCCACAGTCGGGCTAGGTGAGACCTCAGATGGGGGGAAGAGCTTTGTAATGTCCAGAGCACTATTTATGAAATACTCATTGAGAGAGTTGGCCAATACAGCCGGGTCTTTTATCAGAGCATCATTGAATTTTCATTCTAAAACATTATTTTGATATGTTTACCTAATAGTTTATTTAAGGTTTGCCAAACTTTTTTACCGTTACCTTTCGCACCTTCAATTATATTGATGAAGAAGTTCGCTTTGGCCTGTCTTATTGTTTGTGTTACCTTGTTACGAAACGAGCATGAGTGAATTTCTGTCTGTCAGTGGATAGTCCGGATTTCAAGCTCTGCTTTAATAGTTGGTCTCTAGATTTCATTAAATTCCTGCATTGTAGATTCAGCCAGGGAAGATGATGTTCCTTCCTGTCCCTAAGGCACCCTCTTCTTGAGAAGGAAGACAGTCGTCCCCCAATCAATAGTTTTCACTGCATCCATAAAACGTTGTTGCAGGTTTTTGGGGATGAAGCGAGAACCGAAGGCAGGGGTTTTAGGTGTGGCCATCAACCTTTGTGAGTTTCCTGGTAAAAAGAATAAGATTATGGTCTGAAAGACCAGTCAGGAAGTTGTAGGTTTTAACTATTCTGTCAGCTTTGTTAGTAAATAATAAATCTATCATTGAACAATTATGTCCTAGATCTACCTCGTTCCTTCATAGGCTACCATAGGCCATATTCAATATGAGAAATTGTTTAAATTCTTGAACAGAATAGACCTGCTTCCTACCGCGTCAAGCTAGACATGGAGGTAACATTTGGGGGACCCAATGTGCTGGGGCTGTCTTTAATTAAATCAATTTCCATTTTATTTATTGCCTTAACTGCGCTAACTCTTAGCCCAGTTAGCTAACGTTAGATTGCTGGTAGCCTAGCTCTGCTTATGGTATGGTATCCTGATAGCCTCAACTCTTTTTCACACTTCCATCATGTGGTGATCAAGAGGTAGTTGCTGCTTAAAATTAACAAGCTCATAATGTAGCATTTACAGTTTGTGTTGTTGCCCATCCCTGCTAATGTTAGCCTTATTCCCCATTAGCTAATGTTGGATTGCTGTTAGCTTGCTTGATCTTGCTAAAGTTAGCTTTGTGCACAGTAGGCTAAGGTTAGTTGGTTTGTTAATACTGAAATGCAAGGAATGTTCTAGATTTCTTATTCCAAAATAATCTTTTATCAGTTTTTGGACCATTATAGAGATCAAAAGTATATAACAAGTAAAAGTCCTGACTTGAGAAAAAAAATGTTAATCTGTTTTAATACAGAAGTATGAGGAAAATGTTAAAGGAACATCAAAAAGTGTTATTATGCAGAATGGCTCCAAAATGTTCTGACCAACCTCGTGATTGAGATTTTTTATTTCAAGGTTTGATGGTTATTGGACATATTCAGCGTGTTGACCACCTACACACATGAGACTAGTATGTTATCACTGAAACATAAAAAGGGCCTAAAGTTTATTGAATGCAAAGAACTAAATCTTATCTATCCTCCTTTTTTTGTACACCTCTTCTAGACAAATGCCATCAAGACCTCCAAGTACAACCCCTTCACCTTCCTACCTCTTAACCTGTTTGAGCAGTTCCAGAGGATTGCTAATGCCTACTTTCTGTTTCTTCTGGTGCTCCAGGTGGGTGAAACAGACACACAAACATATGTGTGCAGGAAACATAAATGCAACGCTTCCATCCAACTAGCTATAAACATATTAAATCTCTCAAAATAAAATGAAAATTAGAATTGTTCCTCTCAGATTAGTTGAAGACCATCTAAATGTTTGACATATTTTCAAGATAGAGAAATAATATTATGCTGGAAACGGATTTTAACTAATCAAACTGACTGACTGCTTTGCAGATAGGCATTCATGACACACCACAATCCACAGCGAGCAAATATTATTTCTCACAGTGTAGCTGTGTGTTAACCAAACAGGATGTAGAGATTAATCAAGTGCAATGAGATTAAGGAAGTGTAATATCCAGTACAGGAAATTGCCTCATCGTTTGCAAAATAGTCATGTTGCTCGGGCTGCTCTGCAGACAGACAAGGAGGTTTCAAATGGCAGTTTCAAATGAAAAAGTTTTGTATATTTGTGTCAATGGTCCATGGTGCCTTTTTATGCATCAGAATCTATCAGGATTTGATACTTTTTGAAAATGGCTAACAAGGTACTATTTATTCTCAACTGTAAATATATTACAAATAAAGGAAACCACTTCAAAATGATCTTGTATCCACCCAAAACAACACTTATCCTCTCACCTGTCACATGTGTTAATTTTATACAAAATGTCTTTAAGAATAGGTGAAGATGGTTTTGAGTGTCAAACAAAGTCATGCAAACCAGAATGGAACCTACTTGGAAGACCTGATGAACACCTTGTATGCAAAATGTTCACTCTTATATTTTGATTTGCACCTTACCCTTATCCTATAAATAGTAAACTTGTAATTTTACTGTTGACATTTTGGGCCCTAGGAACTTTTGCAACTTACTGATCATTTTATTTTTATATTTAGTTTCATGCACACTTTTTACTTTGTATCGCAACTGCTGCATAATATGATTTGCAGTATAAAATTGTCTCATAGACCAAATAAAATACATTTAAACATGGTTAAAGAAGATATATTGATAAAAGTTTTGGGGCAAATCATGCAATTTTTCTTTTAGCCATTCAAATGTTTTTGCAGTGCAACATTGTTAATCAATGTTCTGTCATGACTCATCTTCCTCAAATCTAATTTCAATTCTGGTCCTTTTGGCAATGACGCAGTTTGAGAAACATTTTCACAGAGTTCGTATGTCCTTCGTGGTGTTTAAGCTTGAATTAACATAATGCACACACTGTTCCCTCCCTAACACCCACAAACAGCTGTCTTTATGTCACCTCACTCTACCATAATCTTTCCCCATCACTTTAAAACCAATGTAGTCTTTCAGACTTGTTGTATGTGCGATTACATTACATTTTTTTAATTGCCTGCCTTTATTGTTTTTACATTTTTCTGCGACGCAAACTCATTTTAGGTTTCCCTGTCATTTTTTTAATTTAATATATGCAAAAATATATGTACCCTGAAGTGAACTGAAAACTGTTTTCTGTGTGTTCTTCAGGTGATTCCTCAGATCTCCTCTCTGTCCTGGTTCACCACAGTCGTGCCTCTGGTCCTCGTGCTGACAGTCACCGCTGCCAAGGATGCCACTGACGATATTGTAAGCAAACATGTCTAATGCACCTTTCACAAATTCTACTACCAAGAGGTAAAGGGACAGTAAACAAAAAAACTCCGGAATCACAAAGAGAAACCCATACCTCTTCTGTTCTCAGTTTGTTTCAGGCCTAAAAAAGGTTTTCAGGTCAATTGAACAAAGATTGACCTCCTTTAATGGCAAAAGTTAAAGTAGAGTCAAGTTGTCAAGCTTGGCTCTACTAGTTAACTCTGGTTTCTTTTAACAATGAAGATCATCTATTAGCGTCACTATAAAAAGATACCTAAAGTAGGAAGGGAAACGATCCTAAAACAAATCATTTAACCAGCCACAAATTGGCTGTTCACACCTAACAACAACATAAAATATATCAAATATAAAGACAGTATTGTGTCTTTTCTGCAGCCTTAGCATTATCACAACTACAATTTAAGCATACTGTAGCTGATAATCACTATTTACTCTCTGACTGTGGGGGGAAAAAAACGTTCCACTAACGTCAGCAGTCTTATGTACAAAACCCTTCACACTCCTCTTAACTGATGTGAGCGCAAAACAAAGTGTTTATCAGTAAAAACTTCCCCTCCCCATATCAAAGCTCTACTGCAAGTTCATCAGGAAGTCAGTTGGTTGTGTGTTTTTTTGGTTAATGATTGAAAACCTGTTTTATTTTCTCTAATCGCTTAACGGGAACCGAAACAGAATGAAAAGTACCTCGAAAAAACAATGACGGGAAAATGACTTTTTGTTTCAAGGACATCCAAGCACAAAAGTGTTTGTACAGTGTGTGTGTGTGTGTGTGTGTGTGTGTGTGTGTGTGTGTGTGTGTGTGTGTGTGTGTTGTGTGTGGCACCCAATCACTTAATGCCAAACCTCAAGAGGAAATAATGGGTTCATCATGGGTTAAACATTAGCTCCGGGAGAAAAAAAATTACTTTTTGTTTGGCAGCGATGTCACTCCTGAACAGTTCTCATCGCCAAACCCTACTGTTCCTCTGGTGAAGTCAAACAGAAACAGCCAACTGACCATGTGGCAAGGTCGATTACCCTGCAAAACAAACGCTGAATAACTGTCACCAGTGTTGGGAAAGCCATTTTTATACTACTGATTTCAGTCAAAACTGCCAATTAAGTTTCGTAATGTAGGAGTTGGCTAGAGAAATAGTTCTTGTATTTCTTAAAAAACAATGACACATTTGTCGGTTAATATTATTTATACAATATGAAGTCAATTACATTTTGGATTTGTAACAAGTTAACAGTACAATAATTAATAATCGTTAATTTCAGTAAATCCTAAATGTGGGTGATGATTTAATGATTTACAGTCAACAACAGGTTGCAAGTTATATTTCTTGTGCGTACTGTAAGTGCGTGCATGTGTGCGAGTAAAAGGTTTTTATAGGATTTCATAAATAATATCAAGTTAAAAACAGAAATTCCTTGAACTGCAAAAACTCCATATGGGTTTCACTAAGGAAGGACAATTCATTAATTTATTTTATACAGATAGGGAACATTTGTCATTCCTTGATTTTCACTCTGAATAGTTTTTTACCTGTGCAATTTTAATAATTTAGGATTGTAAAATGAAGCAGTTAACTTCTCCATTTCAAGAAAAAGTACAGACACATTTGAAAGCTTTGCTAGTGATTACTAAAGAGAAACTTCCTGACTGCGCTGACGTCTCAGTACCCACCTGTGTGTCTCACTCACATACGTAAATAGTGATTGGACACTAAAGGCAGAGACAAATGAGACATAGGAGGTGTCATCATGTTGGAGACTCATCAATGAAGGGGAGTCAATGTTTCTAATAAGGTCAAAAGGTGTAATTTAGCGGAATATCTCTCGTGGGAGGTTCCCATTTTGAGAATGTTACTCTATCACTTTATCTTCTCCCACATTTTTGCAGGTTAGTATCTACATTAGAAATGACTACACAATGCTCACTGGTTTAATGGAATTTTCATCAGATCTATTCAGCAATTGTTGGTAAAAACTTGAGTTTCTTGTGATCCTCTTTGACTCAGTATTTATTTTTGTTTTTGTGTGTCTTTTTTCCAGAATCGCCACAGGAGCGATAATCAAGTCAACAACAGAAAAGTTAAAGTCCTTATTGACAGAAAGTAAGTTTGTTCATGTGCATACTGTATGAGTCATTACACCTGCGCAGTACACCTGTGGCCATATACGCAAAGTTTCAGGCAACCATATCCTGTGTTTTTATTCATTTTAAAGCCACGATCAGTGCCTTTTAACCTGTTAAGTACATGTAGGCGTTCCTCAGGGAATCTTGTTGGGTTCCCTTCACCTTTACATTTTAATAGCAACCCTCAGGTCAAACCAGATCTAAAACAAGCACTCCCCCCACCACCCTGCGGCTTCTTCCTGTTGGCTAAAATATATACGAGTTTTAGTCACAAAGTTTGCGAAGAATACACAGATGGGTGGTAACACCAGATTAATTTACAGGAATTTCTTTTGAAGTCTGCTTGTCAATAAACAGAATAATTCAAAATCAATTAAAGTGGAATATGGGCTTGAAATATCCTTTTTAGACATCAGGGTCCAAGTTTCCTAACAGAACACAGTTTATTTATTGATTTATTACAGGTGCAAGTTCATCTCCCTTAATGGTCTAATGACTGATGCAAAGCCAGAAATATCATAAAGAAAAGCTATAACAAACACCTCTTTCAATGTTATTATTTACTGTAAGTATGTTATGTTTTTGCCATGTCAATGATTATAGTCATGAATTACAAATTGATGAATTATCTTTAATTACATGCAGTCTGTTTCTCAGTATCCTTTATTTACTTCTGTAACCAACACACTCTCACTCCATAAACGTCCAGGAGCGACGCTTGGTCAGGGTCCCGAGGCTTGCAGTTGTGACGCTCCTAGGCTCCTTCAGCTTCATAAAGGGACGCAAATAGCTTTCAACTGATTGCAATGTATTCCCATCTGCGGCGGGATTTGACGCTCATGGAAGCACGGCATTCGTTTGTGTCGGCTGCCCTTAAAGGCAATGTGAGCGTCCATTCCCATTGGATAACGGAGAATTGTACACCCGGAAGTAAGTATTTCCCTTACTGTCGATTGATTTTACAGTGATATCTGCACTAC